TTTTGGATAATAAACCAAGGTAGGCCTGCACGATAAATCGCATGCGATATTTAATGTGCATCTTGTCAGAAAGCCTGTTCTTTAATCAGCGGTAAATCTCCTTCACCTGCGTGCTTTCACATTGAGCAGCATTAACTACACAGAGTCGTTGTTCACTGATGAGCTGAGCAAAAAAATCGCACGAATATGAACGTGGTTTTGCGCAGCTCGTCAGTGAACAACGGCTCTATGTAGTTAATGCTGCTCAATGTGAAAGCACGCACGTGATGGAGATTTACTGCTGATTACAGAACCGGCTTTACTGATACGATGCGCGTTAAATATTGCATGCGATTTATCATGCAGCCCTAAACCAAGGTTTACTTCAGTTTTGAAGTGAACACTTAGAACTGAGCATATGGCCTGTCAAAGTACACTCCATTTGACAGCATGCCATATGACCGACTTCTGTGTTTCTGTGACTTCAGTGTTGCTAGTGGACCAAGTAATTAGTGCAAAACAATTCAAGGCTCATGCACATTCAAGGCTGATGACAAAAAATATAGGCCTACATGTAATCCATTGAAGTTTGAACTTGCAACATGTATAAAAACTGCTGTCCAGCATTAGCCTAACTCGGTTGCATTTAATTTATTGCATTTCTTGCCCTGCTGTGAAATAGATTTTATATTTGCTAGATATAGTAAAAATTTTCATTAAATATTACATTTACTTAACATTTTCTTTTGTTCATTTTTTCTTTGCAAATACAGAATCTGCAACAAGTTGGAAACTATAGAGCTACAATCTTACGTCATAAATTGAGAAATTCAATTTTTCTGGTAAATGATGGCATACGAATTAAACCATTACAGACTGGTTTATAGTTTAACACATTTTCACTGATGCCTTCAAAACTATCACTACCATCAAGTCATTTTCTGTCCTCCCTCGTAACGCGCTGTTCTGAGACCGAGCACGGCGGGGGGAGGGCGGGTTTCTAGAACAGCAAGCCTGGAAGTCATCTGAATTACTGGCAGTACCTACGTCATCTCAACTTTTAATTCAGTGGATGTAAAAGTGTACTGTTGTGACGTTTGCTCTAATCATTTCGATCCTTTTTTTATAACTCTGTACGTTAAGTGTGCCACTGGCCACAAATCCCACAGCGAAACTAAATGAATATTTTCACTATATAAAACACAATATAACGCAAAGTGCGTTTCATTTGATTTATAAAAAAAAAAAAACAGAGACTTTCAACTCAGCTCAAATATTATTTATAAAGCACTTTCAAAACCATAAAAAAAATGGACCAAAAGTGCAGGAAAACTTACAAACATAAAATAACAGCAAAGCATAAACTAATAATTACATATTGAATAATTCAATATCAAAACGGTTTATTTATTTATGAGACTAAAAACATTTATTGCTGCAAATGCAATCATTTTAGAAAAAATATGGCTTAGCAAACAAATATTAATAAAGTGACTGGACTATAGTTTTGTAACTAGAGATGTTCACTTTTTAGCTCCAAAACCAGAAATAGTATCAGCAGTTTTACAGTACAGTTATGGGTTCCTATAGCAATTTCTAATGGGTTTTTAGTATAACAGTGGTTTCAAAATTCATGTCTCAGGTGTGACTGTCTATAATTTATAGAACAAAACGAAAGTCTCTTCAAGTAACGTTAACCACAGTCTTTTCTTACTCAGAAATAAAAAAATATATATTTTTAAAACCCTCTGAAATTCCCAAAGGAAACCCTGGGTTCACCTACAAATTGAGTCATGATTGAGCAGCTCTGATGTGCTTGTATCGAAATAAGGTTAGTCTGTTTTTCTCACTCACACATTTCAACCTAACTTTGTCTTTGATTGCTGCAAAATAATCTTTAACACAATGCTCCATTGTGTTCGTACCATTATCAGATATGATTTTATTATTATTAATATGATTATTAAACAGACCCTTCCAAACATATTTCCTTGAAGTGTATAAGAACTGGGTGTTACCGGGTTATATTAACTTCTGTTTGCATTTAAGACAGGGCTTCTAAGTAAACGTCAGAGGATGTTTTCCACAGTCCAGATGTTCCAGTCCAAGTCCAATAGGCTCTTGGTTGTTTGTTGTTTTTTCTTCTCCCTTCACATCTGGTCTCTCAGTGCTGTCTTTAATGCCAAACAGAAACTGATGCTGACTAAACACATTCATATCTGATGATGTGTCAAGAAATGATTCTGGAAATTACACATCACATGTGTTGCATTAATACTGAAATGAAGGTCTGATGAACATGCTTTTACTGTGAAAAGATCCTGTGTCTGTTTGTTCTTAAGTTAAAATCTCACTTGGGTTAAGAATATAAAAACATAAACAGTGAATAATGTGAACATTTCACTCTTTCACTAAATAATGACAGAATTTACATTGTTGTATGAGCAATATCTTTAACTAAATACTTTTTACACTTTTGCGCAGTTCTGTTAAACATCTCAGAGGCTCAAGAGACCTGCTGCAAATAGGCCTGTTGCTCACTAAATATAGCACTTCCTCAATTTTTATTTTAGAAATACAAAGTTGTTTTGTTACGTTATATTAACCATTGAAGAAGACGACAATGATGATGGAAGCAGAATAAAGAACAAGGAAATAATGAGCATGTATTTCCTGTCATTTCTCGCTCCTCGGCACAGATGCCAGATGTCACACTGGTGCAAATAAAATCCCCAAACATTCATTTGATCTGGTTAGTCTACAATGACTTACATTTTAAACATCCTCATTTAAGTCACATCTCACCCGTCATCTGTTTATTTACATCACATGCGTGCGGAGACATTTATTTGTGCATATTTTGTACAGATTGATAAAGTGATATAGTTTGTGCTGGATGATGGAAAGAGGCCATAATACAAACTCACATAGGAATAATAAGAATGTAAGAATGAGTACTCAGGAACAAAATATTAATGATTTAAATTTGCATTTACACCTACGAAATGTATGACTTCATAATATGGCTAAGTGAAGTCATTTGGAAAGTCACACATACGATTAATAACCAATGTATGCACCCCATATTTAATAGTTTTATTTATTCATGCAAAACAAAACTCATTCATACAAACTTCCCTGTCACTACAAGCCTCACATATTTTTGTCTCCACATAGGAAGTTCACACACAGCTATAACAGTATAGAGAAAATGCGGAGAAACATCAGCTCAGTGGGTTCTAGTTTGATCTTTCTGTAAACACACAACCACCTGTTCTTCTGAGACACGGATGGAAAACACAGATGTGCAGCAGTGTGTGTTTGTGGGGTACAGAGACCAATCCATACTGCATCTCATATATTGTTTATATTGCAAACAGTTTTCGTGTAATGAACAATATCAACAGATCTGATATATATCCAAAGAGACTGCTGTCTATTTGAGTGATAACTTTTAATATCTGTTCCATCATTAAGATATCAAGAAAGAAAGTTCATCTTATCAGAGGTGTTAATAAACAAAACATTGTAAAATAAAGTTCATATACTCTTCACATAATGTAAAAAGATACATCACACACATACACGCACACACAAATATATATATTCTTATATATATTTATTTTTCTTCTGCTGTCTTCTGCCCCCCCATTTGGAAAAGGACTCTGCTTAATCAGATTCCTCGCATTGATTATTTAATGTATTCCCTCTACGACCAACACAACACCACCAATGACAGAGAACAGACAGAGAGAACATGAGGGAGAAGCAGAGGAAAAATAGCATAAACAGAGAGCAGCCTGTATAGTAATGCATTATGCCTTATTCCTGTCCAAACATGGCACATCTAACTTTAGTAAACAAGCTTTCATTTTTTTGCGTATAATTCATGACATTATAAAGAATGTATTTGGGTGCTTTTAAAACTTTAAAGTTAAATTATGGATTCACTTATAAATGTATTCATCTCTGGTCTTAAGATATGAGAAAACCTGCATTATATAACTGACCTCATGTAACATGTGTTTAATAAGGTTTACTATCTGTACCAAAGGTACGTTTTAATTGTTTTTATTTTCAAAACCTTTAAATGCCTATTTAAGTGGGGTCAAATCATATATATTTTAGTATTTGTTTTTACTCTGCGGTCCAAAGTTAGTAAGGTATATTCCTGCCAAAAATTGGCCCTTAATGGGCATTCATGCTGACATCGCCTAAATCTGTTTGCCTGCAGTGTCCAGCTGTATTCAGACTTGTAGTCATCCTTCTGTTTGCTGTGCATTTGTCACTGTAACTCATGTCTCATTGAAAATGAACTGCTTAGTTTCAATAAATGCTCTTTTTGGACTAGGGAGGAAGTTGGAAGTTTCTTAGTTTTGAAAGTTACACTTTGATTTGACTATTTAACCCTATAAAGCCTACTGTATATGCAAATTTTAAGGTCTGTAAATGATCAACATGATATACATACATATGTACAAACATGTTGTACTGTACATAGTCTACTACTTTCCTTCTGCTTGATGTGATTGATAGGTCATACATTTTCAGCAAGGTCTTTTAGTATAATTTTTTTTTTAAACTCCAAATGTCCGATTCCAGGCCTGGCAGCAAGTGTGTTTTAAGACTCGGTCCGACACTGTGGTCAAAAGCGTTTTTCAAATATTGTTTAGTGCACCTTTAACCTAATGGACTACCTTGATTGTCATATAATGACACTCTCTGGAAGAATACTGCATTATTTTTAGTAACGCCATGTCCAAATTTATATACTATATAGACATATTTTCATGTTTCAAGACTTAGCACTGAATTTGAAAGAAAATGTCCACATCGGACTGCAGATTCCTTGCTGGTACAGCTTGATATTGCTGTGTGTGTGTCTGAACTATCAGTCAGTGGTCCATGTCGGTTCACCACAATGTTACTTTTCACTACTGTACGAGCGCTAATAATCTACAGTGTGCAGCTTCTGCTCTCTCTGATAGCTGTAAATAGGTCAGTAGATACAAAGAAGTTTCAAAAGAAAAAAGTTCAGTCAGTAGTTATTTGTAGTTGTTTCTTTCCATTTTTTTTTCATTTCACTTTAATTAGAATATTTTTCAATTCACTTTCCCTCACAACAATATTTCCAACAGACAACATACTCTCTAGCACCTTAAAGTTTTAAAGTTCATTCATGGCATTAAAACAAAGCCCAGATGTTCTACAAGATGCGTAGAGCCTGCTTTTAATTTATACTGTTGAAATTAGCAGACATCACATCACATCACATGATAGTACAAAGAACACAAGGTGTTCATTAAATATAGGCACTTTAATATGAATATATATAGGCAATATCTGGCCACAACCGGGTAGCCTTGATTACAAATGAATAAGTTAATATTAAATGTCTAATAGGAACAAAATGCCATGAAAGTGTTTATGAAAATCTTTAGATGTAGATTAAGTCTTGGTTATCAAATTAAAAATGATTTGATCTTTTTTGAGCGTTCTCGACACAAAATTGACCATTAGTCAATTTAAAAATTGACAATTGAACAAAACAAAATGAAAAAAATGCAACCTTGGGGTTGAGAGGATAATAAGAAACAAACAAACACACAAACAAAATGTTCAGCCAAAGGTCCAGTCGACTCCATTCAGTTGCTCTTTATTCCGTTTCTCAAGCACATCTCAGTTCCCTACATCATTTCAGCCTTATTTATCTCCAGACCTACACATTATTTTTCCCAGGGCTCAGCATGTTGGACTTACTGGCCGGCCTTCTCCCTCGGCCTCACCGTCTCCTGGAACGCCAGCCGTGATTGATCAGCTGCCTCTAGTAAGGCCTCCATCTCAGGGCTGTCAAGATTGACCAGTTCACCTTCCTCCACCCTTGACACTAGACCTCCTTCCTGCGCTGCAAGACCCTCTTGGACCTCCTCATTCTGCTCCACCTGCTTCTCCTCTTCCTCAGGTTCTGGTGTGGGTTCCATCTCACCCTCACGGACCTTCTTGACGTGGAAGGTGAAGGGCGGTACGCGGTAGGTGGTTGATTTGGATCTTCTCTTCTCTCTGGAGCTACGGATCTTCTCACGGCGTTCAGTGTTAGGCGTCATCTTTGTTCCTAGCTTACCCATCTTCTTGCCCAGGCTCTTCTTGGTATTCTCAAGGTTCTCTCGGGTTCTCTGACGTGTCTTCTCCAGGTTCTCTTTAGTTCTCAGTCGGGTTTTCTCCAGGTTCTCCTTGGTTTTCTGTCTGGTCTTCTCCATCTGCTCCTTGCTGAAGGCTATCTTCAGCTTGTCCACCTTCTGGAGGCCACTGCGTTTGATGCGCTCAGCACGAGATTCCTTTATGATCTCCTCAACCTCAACTTCCTCTTCAGAGCCATGGTCTTCCTCTACTCCTTCACTCAGCACCTGCTCTCTTTCCTCTCCTGCAGCCTCTGGCTTCTTAGAGACCTTCACAGGCTTTACCTTGTCCTGAGCAAAAAGGTGACAAAAATTAAGGAACTAAGATTAGATTAGACCAGACAGATCAGAATATTTTTGAACTTCCTGATTTGAATAAGCAGTTGGTATTAAATTAGGCGTGAATAGCACCATTTCTTACTACAGAGAATAAGAGAAATTCTCACTTTCAGTATTACTGTCAGACAAAGAGTACTGAATATAAAAATAAAATATGTGCAAATACATGTTTCATAAGAGCGTACTCAACAGACAGTGTTCCTGTCCACAATACTCAGACCCTTTAAACTAGGGCACTTCAACTAGTTTCTTTTGAGGGCCGGAAAACGTTGACTGAGCTAACGTTAACATACACTGTTGCTAGGTAACAGACTGTTGTTAGCTTAATATTTAATGTAGAACAGTGGTTCCCAAACTGGGGTACGTGAGGCGACAGAGGGGGTACGCGAGCAAAATGCTGAGTTTAGCTGTGTTTTGTGAACGAATCGTTCGCGAAAGTCATTGATTCAATGACTCATTTATAAATACAGCCACTTGCTTAGTTACTGAATGAACAAATGACTCGATGACTCACGCATTAAGACAGTGACTTACCGCCACCTACTGGCGCTTTTAGTATTTAAAAGAATCACTTTTCACTTTTTTATCATCATTGCATATTAATCTATTGAACTTTTTTTTTAAACATTAATATTCTATTTATAAAGATAAAAAATGCATTGGAAAGTCAATAGCATCTCAATCGGATTTAAGTCCGGACTTTGATTTGGCCACTCCAAAACCTTAATTTAGTTTTTCTTGAGCCATTCTGAGGTTGATTTGCTGGTGTGTTTGGGATCATTGTCCTGCTACATAACCCAAGTGTGCTTGAGTTTGAGGTCACAAACTGATGGCCGGATATTCTCCTTCAGGATTTTCTGATAGAATGCAGAATTCATGGTTCCGTCAGTTATGGCAAGTCGTGCAGGTCCTGAAGCTGCAAAGCAGCACCAGATCATCACACTACCACCACCATGTTTGACTGTTGGTATGATGTTCTTTTTATGAAATGCTGTGTTGGTTTTACACCAGATGTAACGGGACACACACCTTCCAAAAAGTTCAACTTTTGTCTCATCAGTCCACAGAATATTTGCTCAAAAGTCTTGGGGATGAACAAGATATTTTTTGGCAAATGTGAGACAAGCCTCTGTGTTGTTTTTGGTCAGCAGTGGCTTTTGCCTTGGAACTCTCCCATGGATGCCGTTTTTGCCCAGTCTCTTTCTTATTGTTGAATCATGAACACTGACCTTAATTGAGGCAAGTGAGGCCTGCAGTTCTTTAGATGTTGTTCTGGGGTCTTTTATGACCTCTTGGATGAGTCGTCGTTGTGCTCTTGGAGTAATTTTGGTCGGCTGGCCACTCCTGGGAAGGTTCACCATTGTTTCAAGTTTTCTCAATTTGTGGATAATGGCTCTGACCGTGGTTCGCTGGAGTCCCAAAGCCTTAGAAATGGCTTCATAACCCTTTCCAGACTGATACATGTCAACTATTTTGTTTCTCATCTGTTCTTGAATTTCTTTAGATCACGGCATGATGTGTAGCTCTTTTAAGCATGCTTCACTTTGACAGACAGGTTCTATTTAAGTGATTTCTTGATTCAACTATTTATTTTTTTATTTCCTTATTTCCTTACTGATTTGGATTATTTATATATATATATATATATATATATATATATGTATGTATGTATGTATGTTTGTGTGGCTGTACAAACACATATGTAGTTGTGTGTGTGCGTATGTGTGTGTGTGTGT